CACAAGCCCCATTGAAATGAATCAGAGTTGCAGCACAATGGAACTTATGCAGGAGAACTTTCCATAGTAAGACTGGATCTTACGCATCTCTCCCATTCTGAGACACTTACATATGGCCAAAATCCTCATGGTAGGCAGTAACGAAGCAGAAGCAACCTGAGAAAGCACAGCATGTGAACAAGGATCTCCTTTCTGGCAAGGATCCAGCAAGGCATTGAAGGAGGATGGCAGCAGAGCCCCACACATCTGCTGAAGAAGTTGTAGCATGAGTAATTTGGGTGGTAAAGCTTCTCTCTGCTTCCTTCTCATGCCAGGCTAACCACCCCCCCCCATGGAAATTCAGAGCAGATGTTCCCCAGCACCCTCCCACACACTAACACCCCTCCTCCTTAAAAAAAAAGCACAAAAGTAGCTCCAGCAATTCCTAGTCCAGTCTTCACAAACCAGGGCACCAGGCTGCAGGGGGGACTGACCCCAGTCAACAAAATAAATCTGATGGCAAACCCTCCAAGTGTCCCTATTTTCCAGGGACGTCCCTGAATTAGAGAAGCCATTCCTGTTTTGATCCCGGAATGTCTCGCTTTTTCTCAGGATGTCCCTATTTTCATTGGAGAAATATTGGAGTAAAGAGTTATCCAACCTGTGAACCGTCTGAAGGCAATCCTGCCCTGTATATGGAAGTTTTTTTAAAAATAAATGTTAACTGTATTATGTTTTTAATATATGTTGGAAGCTGCCCAGAGTGCTGGGGCAACCCAATAAGATGTGTGGGATATAAATAGTAAAATTATCATTATGGAATGGGATGTCCCTATTTTCACTGGAGAAATTTTGGAGGGTATATGATGGATCAGGTCACAAGGAAGAAAATGTGTTGTTGGACTAAACTTGCCTCAGCCCAGCCAGCACAGCAGCGCTAACTCCAGCCCCAGGCCATGCTGCCAGGAACTGATGTGAGTGTTGGAAAGCCAGAGCACAAGACCAAGGGCCTGCTTCCTGATTCTCAAGAGACAATCATAGAACTGTATAGTTGGAAGGGACCCCAGGCATCATCTAGTCCAACCCCCTGCCATCTCAACATGCGATCCTCCGTCCAGTTTGAAACCATACAGAACCCTGCTTAGCTTGGCCCATGTGCTAGCAGTTTTACAACTGCACCACCGCCAAGGGGTAGCCAGCATCCTTCGCCCCCGTCTGATTTTACACGGTCAGCTCCTCGCGAGAAGGGCCTGTCCAGCCTTCACACCGGCTCGCGGAGCTCAGAACAGCACGATATACGCCAATGACGTTACAGACACAAAACTACACCGCGGCACAAAAGCTTCCATGGGCCAGAATCCACTCCAACCAAGAGGGGGAGAAACAAAACAAATGTGCGCAAATCAGAGGAGGCTTTTTCCTGAGTAACTAACTGCCCGGGGTTTTTTTTTTTTTTGGGGGGGTGTTAATTGGAAAGTGCAAAAGACACAAGAATATATTCGGTGGGCGTGTGATGCCTATACTGTATTTCTCTGGATTCCCTCCGCCCTGGCTACAAACAGAGCTTCGGAGCTTCCCCGCTCTTGCAGAACCAAGCGAACTTCGCCGCCCGCGACTTTCCGATTTGGCCCCCCAAACCGGGCGGCGAAGGCGGCAGGGGAGGCTTGGGTCCTCCGCCCGGCTCCGGGCGCGAAGAGGCCGCGTGCGCTACGAGCCGAGCGCCCCTGGTGCCCCGCGGCCGAGGCCCACGGAGGCCGGCGCTCTGGGGACGCCTCACTCACCATGGCTCGCTGGCTGCGCTCCGGCTCCGGCTGCTGTCTCGCTCACTGGCAGGCTGGGCTCAAGGCGCTCCGGCCCGAGCGCGGCGGTGGGGAGGCCGGCGGGGCGCCCGCGCCATCACACAGCCAGCCGCCGCCGCCGCCGAGTCCTGAGGGAACTTTGGAGCCGGCGCGAGTGGAGCTGGGCGGCGCCTCCCCTCCGGGCTCCTCCCGCGGGCCCGCCGGCCGCGCCTCGTTTCCCATACAAGGCCGAACCGGCGCCGGCCCGCCCAGCCTGCGCGCCCTTTCCTGAGGGGGAGCCCGGCGTGGAGCCAGCGCAGGCGGGCGGGCGAGCGGGCTGCTCCGCTGAGGGAGACGGCTCCGCGCTCCTCGAGCGCTAGGCGGGAGCCTACTGCCCAGTCCGCGCATTACAGTCCTGCCCTCCCTCTCTCAGATGAGCTGCTTTGGCGCAGGTTTTGGATGGCTGGTATTGCTTCGTTACGTTTTCCTCACAACGACCCTGTGAGGGAGGCCGGGGGCCAGGTCCTTCCACTCTCCGTCTTCTAAGCCAGCATTGCTTCCAGGAAGGTGCTGTTGGGCAAGGAAAGGAAGCCCATCCACCAAGCTAAAAGATTTAAGACAACTTACAGAGGGATAGAAAAGTCCCCCCTCCCCGGCCCAAAAAAAGAAGTGCTCCCTAATATGAAGCCCTCTCGCTTGAAATACAGTGGTACCTCGGGTTAAGTACTTATTTCGTTCCCGAGGTCCGTACTTAACCTGAAACTGCTCTTAACCTGAAGCACCACTTTAGCTAATGGGACCTCCTGCTGCCGCCACGTCACCAGAGCACGATTTCTGTTCTCATGTTGAAGCAAAGTTCTTAACCTGAAGCACTATTTCTGGGTTAGCGGAGTCTGTAACCTGAAGCGTCTGTAACCTGAGGTTCCACTGTATTTCCCCACACTGTTGATTGGTTCTGCCATAGGTAACACCCCTGAATAATTTGGCCCTCTTCCAAAGCGTTACTGATTGCGATTGTGAAGGCAAAGTATTGCAACCATGGCTAGTAGTCACTGTTTGCCTTCTCCTTCATTGTCTGATCCTCCTTTAAAACCATCCAAGTTGTTAATACACTGCGGTGTCCAGACCGGACTAGGACCCAGGTGTCCAAGGTTCAAGTCCCCTCTTGGCTATCAAGCTCCCTGGGTGACCTTGGACCAGGTTTCGGGCTCTCAGCCTAGCCTACCTCACAGGGTGATTGTGAGGATAATTTGGAGAGAGGCATTGCATCTTGTACACCACTTTGAGTTCCTCGGGGAAAAGAGTTTTCATGTAATAATACAATAAAGCACCAAGAAAGGCCTCTAGGTGCACAAACATGTTTTAAAAAGATGCCTGGAGGTGGCGAATGTGGGTGAGCACCCAGGCAGAGAGAGAAGGCGGCTCCATAATACAATGAAGCCCCCCCCCCCAAAAAAAATTTAAGATCTAATACACCATGACTAAATGATGGACCACTAGCCAGCCAACAACACCTGGGCAAACAGGTGAGTTTTAAGGAGGTGCCAGAAAATGGACCACAGTCCTGGCCTGCCTTATTTTCTCGATTATCCAGAGGGATGCAAAGCTGGGAGGATTTGGGGAAACTCTTAAGGAGAGCCTAGATCCAGCTGCCTGAGCCTTCTGCCTGGGGGTAAATGCAGGGCTGGGCCAGACACTTGGCAGCTTCCTGAAGTCGTCCAGTGGTGCCATGGGCCTGGCAGGGAGAGCGTTCCTGGAGCCTGGAGCCCATTGGATCCAGTCCTTGGCCAGGCTCTGACCTCACAACCAGCTGTGGAATCCTGTGGAATGTTTTGTTTCCTAGGAGGCCAGGTGAGTTGTTTAAAAGGATCCCTGGGTCAGTTGAAAGCCAGTTGGATCAGTTAGCAGCCCATAAAGCAGTGATCCTTCTTTTGTGGTCTTGAAAGCCTTTTGTGGTCTTTCTGGCTCTGAAGATCTTTTTCATAATGTGCCACTGGTGACGTAGAAGGTAAAGTCATGGGAAAGGGGGGCGGCATCCTGAAGATTTGTGCCCCCACCACATGCCTAGTTTTTAAAGATGCTCCTTGGTTATTTGACCTTTCTAACTCCCGTGCTGTGTTACATGAGCCAGCAATTTTCCCAGGGAGTTTTCTGATGAATTCTCTGAGTTTCCTTTTTTGTCACCATCCAAATTGCAACAGTTGGAGTCCCGTTGCAACATCTGGAGGGAACCAGGTTTGGGGAGGCTTGATGGAGAAAACATCAGGGTAATTTAGCATCATAACACTGGGCCAGGGGTTTATCCTGACTCTGATCAGGAGTAGCCAGAATCAGCCACTCACTGTCCAATGTGGAAAGTGGATCAGAGGACCTTGTTAGTCATCTGCAGGAGAGCAGCCCTGGGGATCAGCTCTCCACTCTTTGCAAAATAAGTACCGTAACTGGCAGTGCGTTTTGTCTGTTTAAAAGGTTGTTGTGACTTGGCACAGAGTTAGGTTTTTTAATTTTTGTATAATTTTAATTTATATTACAACAATAGTTCAACTATAGTTCTAACATTTCGAACCTTGACTTCCTTCCTGCTCTTTCTGTGGTTCCTTATATTTATTTTCACATTTTCTGCACACTCCAAATTATCTTAACTCATTCTTTTAATCATCTGTTCTCACATATATTTTTGAAACTGCAGGTTTTTGCAATAATCCCGTTTTAATCCATTTACAGTTTATTTGTAAATATTCAATAAACCATTTCCATTCCATTATAAAATGTTTTGTGTCTTATTCTTATTCTTTAGTTTCTTATTCTTCTGGTAAGCTTTGCCATTTCTGCATCTATTAGTTTTACTATCTATTCTTCTTTCATCGGGACATCTACTTCTTTCCATTCTTGCAGCTGTAGCTGCATATATAAATAAATTTCTATATTGTTTAGGTAGTTCTGATCCTATAATTCCCAAGAGAAAAGCTTCTGGTTTTCTTACAAATGTTACCTTAAACATTTTTTCAATTCATTATATATCATTTGCCAGTAAGCTTTGACCTTATTACAAGACCACCACATGTGAAAAAAACGAACCTTCTTTCTCTTTACACTTCCAACACTTATTCGCTTTTGATTCATACATTTTTGCCAGTCTACTAAGTGGCAATCTATATAACCATCTATATAACATTTTTCATATAATTTTCTCTTATACCATAGCAAGTTGTAAATTTTATATCCATATTCCACAATCATTCTCATGCCTCCTTTTCAATGTTATGACCAATATCTATTGCCCAGCGTATTGTTGAAGATTTCACTTGTTCAGCCTTTGTTTCCCATTCCAATAACATCTTATGCATTTTAGTCATCACTTTATTGTTACAGTCTAACTGATCTTTGCTTCTCCCTTCTTCCACAGAACAGCCAGAGTCTCAGATGGGAGAGCCAAGCCGGACCCCTCCCTCCCCTCAGAGCTGGAGGAAGTCTTTCAATACGAGGGGAGCCTGTGGAGAGATGGCCGGCCGCAACATCGCTGGTTCTCTTCCGGCACGGGAGGTCCTCCGGCAGGAAGCCATTCATGGTGAGGAGGGTCTTTCTGTGGCTCTTACCTCAGGTCTCCCTCAGAAATATTAAGCAAGGGAGTCCAGGGGAATCTTCACTTTTGTAAAGCATGGGGAGGGAGAGCGTGCCTGGGAGATCGGCTGGGAAGTGGGTCCTTCTCTCTCCCAAGGGTAGCCTGGAATTTTTGAGTTCTCAAAAATGGCCAGGAGATCATTTTTCTCCAAACAAGACCCAGAATGGCAGTGGTGGACTTTGGGCTCTCCAATTCCAGTGCCATCCTGTGCAACTCCCCCCCTACCCCAAGGCCCACTGCTGCCTCTCGCGCTCCGTTTCAAAGCATTGTTTTGGCACCCCCTGCAGTGTTTTGGCACCCCCTGCCCAGTGCAGCCACACCAGTCACGCCGCCCTAAAACCGCCAGAGCCATGGGGTGCTTCCTGGTGTCCAGGCTGGCAAATGGCCACAGCTCAGCGGTGGAGCCCTTGCCTTGCCTGCATGAGCCCCAAGTGCAGTGGCATCTCCAGGAAGGCCTGGGAAGGAGGGACCCCTGCCTGAGGCGCTGGACAGCCACCTGCCGATCAGCATGGAGGTCACTTTGGGCCCGGAGGACCAACTCCTTGGCACCCCACCAATGGCCACTCTTTGGGCTTTGGTTGCAGTTCCGGAGGAGAGCAGGATCCATCTCTCCTTGCCAGGCAGAGCCCAAGTCTTTTTTGAAAGAACAGCCCGTTTTAGCTGCCTCTCTTCCAGACCCTGCTGGGATGTGGCCTCTACCTGATGTTCTTCCCCATCTACCTTCTTTGCACAGAGCTGTTTATGACGGAGGCCTCCCACCTGAGCTCCCTTCGTATTGTGGCCGTGCTCTTCTATCAGCGGCTCCATACAGAAAAGCTCCTTTCGCAGGAGGAGCTGACCCTCATCTTCCCCGACCTAAGAGAACTGATTAAGATCCATGGTAAGTCTGCTTCCCCTCCAGACTGTGGCTGGCCCAGGCCTCCGCTTCTTCCTGGGTGGGTCAGGGGCAGAGGGAGAAGGACTAAAAGAAAAGCACAGCATCCAAAGAGCTCTGCAGCAGGATTAGGCCCAAGGGGCCCAGCCACACCTGCAGCCTTTTTTCAGGGGGGGGGCGCAAGCAGCAGGGCAGGAGCTCAAGCGCAATGCCCCCCACCCCCGGAACAGGGATTGTTCAGAGGCATCCACTGCCTTGGGTAGGGGAGGATGGAGGGGGCAGCCAGTTGCTGCCTCTAAACTTAACCTACCTCACAGGGTTGTTGTGAGGATTAAATGAGGAGGGAATCCATGGACACCCTCTTAAGTTCCTTGTAGCGTAAGGTGGGGTGTAAATGACATAAATAAATGAGACGCCTGGTCTCTCCACCACTGAGAAAGTGGTATTTTTAAAAAGAGCAGGCCATCTCCGTCCCCCTCCTGTCCCTGCTGGGGTTATTCTTTATTCCCCCACTCCCATTGCCTTGCTCAACCTCCCCCCCCCCGTGTTTCTTCCCTCCCCTCCCAGGTTCTCTGTTGGGGAAAATGAGGGATCTGCTGGAGAAAGGGCCCCTCACCAAGAAGATTGGGGACCTCCTCCTTTCCCAGGTAAGGATCCCAGAGCAGGGTGGAGAGGCTGGCGGCAGCTGGGAAGGGGCTGCCTGTGGGTCTCCAGTGGACTGGGGCCCTTGATTTCCTGATGCTCACCAGGCGTGTTTCCTCTCCAAGGCCCCCTACCTTCCCCCTAGTTTGGTGTGGCTGCAAGCGAGGAGTTCTGGCAGGCCATCCTCAAAAGCAGCTTGCAGCAGGCCAGGGCCCTGGAGATTCTTAAAACGAAGCAGCAGAGGGATGCTCGGCTCCGGCATGTCATCCAGGTAAGCTGTGTGAGAAGAGGAGGCTGAGCTCACGGAAGGGGCCTTCTCACCTGCTGGCTGGGCACTGTCCCTGGGGGGCTCTTTTCCCATGCTGGCCCTGAAAAGTTGGATGGGTCCAGCAAAGTTCCCAGCCTTTTGAGGTCCGTTCCAGTTGTCCTCAGTTTGCGGGCTGAGGACTTTCCGACATATGGGCATAAAGCTGCTGTCCGAAAGCTGCCACAAGAGAGTCCATTGCTGGCCGATTTTGACACCTTAGGCAACAACTCCAGGGCATGTACACGGACCCCGTCAGGACTCAAGACTGCCAACTGCCTGATCTGGAAGCTGAAACAGAGAAATCAGTTGGTGGGGAAGTATGCCAGTGAATTTCAGCTGCTGGCACAGGAATTGGCTTGGAATCAGGCAGCTCTAGTGGACCAGTTTCAAGAAGGGCTTTCAGACCCAGTTCTAAACAAACTGGCCCACACAGAGTGCCTGCAAAACCTGATTCACCTGTGTCTCAGGATTGCTCAATGCCTACAACAGTGCCAACAGGACCCATCTGGTGGCACCTTCTCCAGGGGGTGCCGTGCCCCAACCCGCTCCAGAAGTGCCTCCTGCTGAGGAGTCACTGCAAATAGGGGGAATTCGCCCTCATTTGGTGGCAGTTGACAATGAAAGGAGACGCAGAGAGGGAGACCAGCCCTGCAGACCTGGGCCATGATCGATTCAGGGGCTATGGCCAACTTCATGGCCCTGGATTTTGCTACCTGGCAGGGAATCCCCAGTCACCTCTTGTGGTGGAAACAATTGATGGCCAGCTTTTGGCCTTGGGACCGGTGACTTGGGCAGTGGACAAGCTGCAGCTGCAGGTGGGGACTCATAGTGAGGAGGCGGAGTTTTATTTGGCTTCTGCACTCCATTTCCCCATTGTGTTGGGCCTGGAGTGGTTGGAGGCCCATGATCCACACATCAGTTGGTCCCAGAGGACAATCAGCTTTGGTGTCCCGGGCTGCATGGGCCATGTCTGTTTGGCACTGGCAGCAGGAATGGAGAAGGATGGGCTTGCCGACCTGCCTGCTAAGTATGCCGGGTTTGCTGATGTGTTCAGTGAAACAGAAGCAGACCTCTTGCCACTTCATTGACCCTACAACTGTCCTATCAACCTGATTCCTGGGGCTCAAATTCCAGTAATCTGTATCTACCCTTTGTTGGAACCTGAATGGGCCACATTACGTGAGTTCATTATTACCAAGAATCTGCAGAGATGTTTTATATAACCCTCTTCCTCACCAGCTGCTGATTCTGTACGATTTGTGAGTAAGTTGGGGAAGTTGTGGCTTTGCAATGATAACTGGTGTTTAAACCAGGTTACCATCCATAATTGATACTCACTTCCCTTCATTGCTGAAATTTTGGAGCAGCCGCGGGGGGGGGGGGGGGCACACTATTCACCAAGCTGGACTTGCAGGGAGCCTATAACCTGGTGCACATCTGTGAGGGTAATGGATGGAAGACAGCATTTCGGACACGATATGGGCACTTTGAGTACACTGTAATTCCCTTCAGCTTGACCAACGTGCCTAGTCTTCCAACATTTCATGAATGATGTGTTCCAGGACCTCCCTGACCGCTTTGTTTACCTTGACAAGATCCTGATCTACTCCTCTTCAGCCACTGACCATGAGCAGCATGTATACACCCTGCTGCAGAGATTACAAGAGCATTGCCTGTTCTCCAACCTCTTGAAGTGCGAGTTTGACAAGCCCACCATCGACTTCCTGGGCCATTGCATCTCAGCCGATGGCAAGGTGGAGACTATGTTGTCCTGGCAGTCTCCCCATAACCCCAAGGAGGTGCAGAACCTACTGGGATTTGCGAACTACTATTGTTCGTTCATCCTGCACTTCACTCAGGTCACAGCATCTCTGACCGTCCTCCTTCGGAAAAAGGCTGTGTTTGTCTGGGATGGTGCAGCTCAGGAGGCATTAGATGCCTTGAAGGCTGTGTTTGCTTCAGAACCCATCCTTAGGCAACCAGACCCAACACTGCCGTTTGTGGTGGAAACTGATGCTTCAGATGTTACGGTAGGGGTAGTGCTACTGCAGGCCGACCCACAGCCTTCGGTGTTCTACCCCTGTGGGTACTACTTCTAAAAACTTCAACCAGCAGAGCAGAATTATGGCATTTGGGATGAGGAACTATTGGCTGTCGAAGTGGCCTTTGAGATGTGGCATCATTAGTTAGAGGGGGCCCGTTATCTGGTTGAAGATTGGACAGACCATTGGAACCTAGAACATCTCCAGTCAGCCAAGAAGCTGAATCAGCGCCAGATCCAGTGGTCCCAGTTCTTCAATTTCAATGTCATCTATATTCCCTGCAGCCAGAACCAGCAGGCTGATACCCTGTCTAGGTAGCCGGAGTATGAGCAGTCTGATGATGTGTCACATACAGCCACGGTCTTGCCTCCTGCCAGCTTTGCTATGGCCCAAGTTCATGGGGACTTTCTGTGGGAGCTGCATGAACAGGATGCCTATTCGCAGCACCAGCGGCAATAATTGCCTGAATGGGCTGGACACACTCCTTGCCATTGGACTCTGTACCAGGACATGCTTCTTTTTTGGTACCGTTATTATGTGCCTCCTGGTCCACTGCAGGGAATTTTTCTGTGGTTATGCCATGACAGTCTTCCGGCAGGGCACTTCGGACATTTAAAAACTTCATTTGCTGGGACTTTTGGTGGCCTCATCTTTGGGTCAAGGTGGAGCAATATGTGGCCTCCTGCCCAGTCTGTCGTCAGGCTAAAGACGGTTCTGGCAAGCTGGCAGGACACCTTCTACCTCTACCAATTCCTGAACAGCTCTGGCAGACTGGACTTTATCACGGACCTGCCTCCATCCCAGGGCCACTACCATTTTGGTAGTGGTGGATACCTTGACCAAGATGATGCATTTTGTCCCTTGGCCAGAGAAACAGCAGACCTCTTCTTGTGGGAGGTGTTTTGGCTGCACAGCCTGCTGCAGCATCTGGTGTCCAATAGAGGACCACAGTTTATTCCCTGCATTGGATGAATGACAGTGGGGGCTTTGCTACTCTTTAAGTGACCTACCTGCTACTCTTTAAGTGACCTACCAATGAAAGGTGATCGCTAATCTGCCCTATCTTCCACTTAAAATAATTGGATTTTTGAATAAACATCATATGACACAAATATGTAATCTACCATACTGCCCCCATTCTGGAATATATAAGCATATTGCCCAAATTGATAGATAATCCTATTTTGTGAGGATATGTCTGTGGTGTTAATATTGTCCTCATTTAGGGCAACAGCTTTACTTATTAGATTATCCCCCCCCCCGATTCTCGCATTAAAATCCCCACATAACAATACCTCTGTTGTTGGGAATTTTTCCTCAATACTTTGTAGAGCTTGTTCTAGATCCTGCCAGAGTTGTTTTGCATCGTGGTTTATGTGTTTAGGCAGTGATTTTTTTCTAAAAAAATGTTTGGGGTACTCTCATTTTGACTCAAGAAAATCACCATTTTATAGTTCAAATCAGGAAAAATAAATGCAGTAAATGGACAAAAGTTTAAAGAATCAGAAAATGTTTAGGGGTATGCGTACCCCTGTGTATCCCCAGAAAAAAGCACTGTGTTTAGGAAGGATATACAGTGGTACCTCAGGTTACAGATGCTTCAGGTTATAGACGCATCAGGTTACAGACTCCGCTAACCCAGAAATAGTACCTCGGGTTAAGAACTTTGCTTCAGGATCAGAACAGAAATTGTGCGGCGGCAGCAGCAGCAAGAGGCCCCATTAGCTAAAGTGGTACCTCAGGTTAAGAACAGTTTCAGGTTAAGAACAGACCTCCAGAACGAATAAAGTTCTTAACCTGAGGTACCACTGTATACATTTAAGCAGATACATGAATTCATTTTAGGAAGGTTTACTAATACTGTCCGGATATAACCATTATTTGTTAATTTCAGCTCCTTTATATCCATTTTTGTGTGTCGCAAGAGAGGAGGACAGCCACACCGCCACTTCCAGATCCGTATTTACCTGTTTTAACTGCTGGGCAGGACACTATTTTAAAGCCTTGTAAATGGATGCTGGTGGTATCTGTTAGCCAAGTTTCTTGTAGGCACAGTAAATCAAATGATTGCATATAAGTAATAAATTCAGGATCAACAAATTCGTTCATCCACCCTGCCATGTTCCATGACAAGATATGTCGTGAACGCTCAGTGTGCTTTACTTCTAATCTATCTAATCTATCACAACTGGTGGTGCCCAAAAAATGCTGCTATTGCGAAATTGGGCAGTTTGCATCTTCTCATGCTCTTCAGAATGCGTGTCTTATGCTGATTCCAATGGGCTACCCAGTTCGTGTGGTTCTAGATATCTGTTGGCTAGTAATGCTTTGCCAGAGCAAGGATATTTATTCTGTGTCTAGCAGGAATATTTTCGGCCTCTGCCTCAACAGTGATCTTAGAATCAGATTTTGCAAAGGGATTCTGTTGAATCTGTTCCTTCAAGATTGGGCTGGGTACATGTCCGTAAATGTCTCAGTTTAAATGGTAGCTTGTCTAATTTGTCCATAATCCTGCGTTGTTCTTTATCAGGGGGTTTGAGGAAGGAGGATATCAATTCTTCTGCTGCTGGTTCCACACAGTCAAATTGGTCTGGGGCCAGCTGTTTGGGGATTGGCTTATTCTGGTAGGGAGTCACTTAAATTGCTTGAGTAGACACCTTAATTTTTTCTGGTGGTTCTGCTTTTATTGGGTTAAATCATCAACCTGATTAGGCTTATTTGACTCTTTCTCTGCTCCTGAGTTTGTGATAGATCTTTGCTGCTGTTCAAAAGGAAGATGGGAAGACCTTACTTTTTTAAAGTGCCAGTGGGGAATCACAACTTTCTTGACTAGTTCAAGTCCCTGGCCAGTCAAAGTGTCTCTTTCACCTCTGGGGCCAACATTAGTATATCTCTTTGCTATTGCAATTAGTGTCTGTTCCCATAGTTCTATATTTTTGGGTAGATAGGTTTATTTAGGTCTTTTGTTAGGTCTAGTATTTCCCATTGACAGTTTGCTGGAAAGGTCAAGCATGTGCTGTTACACTCAGGGGATTGTGGCTGCCCCTTATCTGGCCAGCACAAAACATTTTATTCAAACATTTACAGTGTTTTTCATTCATAAAAGAGAGTTTATAGGCTTTAATTAGGGACAAGGGTGGCGCTGTGGGTTAAACCACAGAGCCTAGGGCTTGCCGATCAGAAGGTCAGCAGTTCGAATCCCCGTGACGGGGTGAGCTCCCGTTGCTCGGTCCCTGCTCCTGCCAACCTAGCAGTTCGAAAGCACGTCAGAGTGCAAGTAGATAAATAGGTACCTCTCCGGTGGGAAGATAAACAGCGTTTCCATGCGCTGCTCTGGTTTGCCAGAAGCGGCTTAGTCATGCTGGGCACATGACCCGGAAGCTGTACGCCGGCTCCCTCGGCCAGTAAAGCGAGATGAGCGCTGCAACCCCAGAGTCTGTCACTACTGGACCTTAGGCTTTAATTAATAACATTATATGGGGGTGGGTTATAGGTTTATTTTTTGTTCTTACTCTTGTCATGTATTTTGTGCTTTTATATTGCATTTTTATGTCGTCGACACTCTGTGATCTGTGGATTAAGGGCAGTATGTACCTTTAGTAAATACATTTAATAACTTCCACAAGGTGTGTGTCTCTGCTTTGCCCCCTGCTGTTTGATGGATGAGGTGTTGACAAGCCCTTTTGCAGAGCCCAGCATCCTACTGACACTGTTTTTCCTATAGAGGCTGCCGTTTCCTAAGGGGATTTAAAATTCAAAGAGCAACTGCCATTTTTCTGTAGCGCTTTCTTGGCATATGGGGCTGTGTTTGTGCTTCTGTATACTTGCAAGCATGTACTTATCCCCATGCATTATATTCATGACGAGAGGATGACACAGCCCTCCACAAAGGGTTAATGCATGTCTGTCTTTAATCCTTCTATGGCTTGGAATGCTGTAAACAGCTTCAATGAATGAATATGTGTGTGTGTATGAGACAAAGCAGTACAGAAATAATTTTATGAATGAATGAAATGTCCCTCTCTTTTTCCCTCCCTTTCAGCTCAGAGGGTGTCTGGAAGACCCTGAGGGCAAACAGCTCCTCCCGACTCCTTCCCTTTCCCAGGTCCTCCCCCCACGAGGGAAGGGCCAGTTAACACCACAGCCCCACCCCAGGGGATAAGGGGGCAGATTCCACCAGGAGCACCCCCTCAACAGAAGGAGCAGCCCTCATGCCACCCCAATAGAAAGGGCCGTCCCCAAACCCTCTTCACACCTAGAGAAGGAGCAGCCTGCTGCCCAGTCCCCCAATCCAAGGTAGGGGGCAGCCCCACCCTTTCTGTAAGAGAAGGGGTCACCCCATCCCATCCCACCCATCCCACCCTCTCAAACTTCTCTTGTCCCAAAAGTGGCGCAGCAGCAGCCCAGCACCCCAGTCAGTCTGTGTGGCATTTGTACGGAGCCCCCGGTCGTCTCATGGACTATTGACCCATACACCACTAATCTGCTGCCACCAACCAGGTCACTTACCATATTTTTCGCTCCATAAGATGCACCTGACCATAAGACGCACCTAGTTTTTAGGAGGAAAACAAGAAAAAAAATTATGAACAAAACAGTGGATGTGTGATTTTTGTGGTGCAGGCTGTAGCCATGGACATGCTATGTGATCTGATGGTGAATTTGGGGTGACCCAATGCAAAAATCCTGAGGATCCATGAGCTTTTACCTCCCCCCTCCCAGGCAGCCTCCTTTATCTCTAGCGTCCCTTATCTCCCTCCCCGATCACTCTCCGATCAGCTGCTTCCTTTCAACTCCCACTTTCCTCTTTCAAAAAAAAAAAAAAAAGCATGATCTGCTTTTCATCCCTGGGCAATTTGGCTCCAGGGACCACGCATTCGCTCCATAAGACGCACAGACATTTCCCCTTTTTAGGAAGAAAAAAGTGCCTCTTATGGAGCGAAAAATACAGAAGTCTCAGTCAGGTTCTTAAGTTAACAAAGAAGGGTGTAGTTTATTGCAAACACAAATAAACTTCAACTGCATTCAAAACGTTGTTACTCTTTACCTTCTTAGTCTTATTTTATCCTGTCTCTAACTCTTCTACCTCCCCTCACACAAGAATCAACTGCACTAACTGTCTATTTCCAACTGTCTGCCAACCGCTTTCTCAACTGCCTTTCCCAGCCAACTAAAACCAACCAACCCAAACCTCGGGCTTAGCCCTTTTATAAACAGGTAGGCTCCGCCTCTGGCTTTTCTATTGGTTTACTTATTAACTCTTTCTCTCCCCCTGTACAGACATTTTAAAAAGAATGGGCAAATGCCACAGTCTGTGAGCATTTAGAAAAGAATGCTGTGATTCCTAAGACCCAGCATGGGTTTCTCAAAGACAAGTAATTCCAGACTGTGGCATTTGCCCATTCCTTGTGATTTTGTTTGTACAGGGGGGTGGAAATGGTTAATGTAGATTGACCCATGAGAAAGCTCAGAGGCAGAGCCTACCTGGATTTGAGGCTCAGCCCAGGGGTTTTACCATGGGGAGATAGAGGAGACAGAGCCAGTAAGACAAACATAGAGGTTGTGACAGCTAGAGTGAGAGACAGGGATAGAACTGAGAGAGAAGAGTGTTACAGTGTGAAATAGTGCCACATCTAGTTAAGGGCACGCATTTGAGAAACCGTTCTGAATATTTTAAAGACTTGTTTGTTCTTCAATAAACTTTAATCTTCGTTGTTGACTTTACAATCTGACTGAGACTCAGTATTTCACCAGAAGAAACCTGGTTGGTGGCAGCAGAAGAATAAAGCAGTGGTGTACAGGTCAATAGTCCGTGAAACGACCGGGGGCTCTGTACGAACGCCACACAGACAAATCTCATTTCTTTTGCTGATGGAGTTACAAGCTTGGTGGATCAAGGGGATGCTATCAACATAATGTATCTTGATTTCAGTCTATCTTGATTTCAGTTCCTCCTTGGCAGGGCCTTGAGTATTGAGGAGCATTCCTTTACATTAACTTCTGACACGTGAAGTTTCCCCCACCATTTATATCCATGAAGGGAAAAGCTTCAGTTGTAAATTTCCATACACCAAAAGCAGGGCCTCTAGAAAAGAGAGCACTCCCCACTCCTCACATTCTCTCGTTGCCACAAAAGAACTGCAATCTCTCCAGAACATTTAAGCCATTTTACTTTTTAAAGCACAACATTTTTTATAAAAATGTGCTTGGACTCGTCACATCTAATTTGACACAACATGTGCATCCTCAAACAGATGTATCATGCTGAAGACGCTAATTATAACCTTTTAACAGGTTATACCAGTCTCAGGAAGAACGCTTTCCTGGCCATGGCTGACAGCAAGCAGGGCCATAGCTAGGGGGTGGTGAGGTGGGCCCCCACCAGAGATGCAGGCGGGGTGTATGTGCAAAATCGGCTTTAAAAACATGTCCATAAATAAAAATATTGATTATTGCCTCATAAGAAAAGGTTTCA